CAACTTTTCGTGAAAACAAACTATCTTCATAGAAAAAAATTGGTAGGATATTTGTGCTTCAACTAAGTTAATATTTTAATGTCATCCGTGGCGGTTCAGAAGATAGAGCAATCTCCTCTCAAAGAGCTTACCCTGGTTCGAATCCCAGCGACTTCCGGTCGATACGACTTACGCATCCAGATCACGCCGACCGCATTGCTGACGTAAATTATTCTCAGTAGTAGGCAGATCATGGATTAGAGTCCCTTTGCCGTCAGGATAACTGTGAGAAGTCTTCGTGGCTTTCCTCGCAAATGTGGGTTACTTCCATCAAAGAATCTTCCATGAAGGGAAAATTTCGTCCGAAGCTTGATACAGGAGTTTCCTTGTCCTCTGGATTGGGTTCAAATTACAATGCTGAGAAGTTGAACGTTGGTAGTCGAAAATTCAAAATTGAGACGGCTGTTCCATGACGGTTATAAAATATAATGAAAATATTATAATATATTGTGGATTTACAATATTAAATGATTGTGCTATGAAAAATTTTATTCAGTTATTGAAAAACAAACGAATCTATACTTTAATCGACTCTTTCTTTTTGTTAATCGATTCCTTGAGTTTGATGTTAAGCATGTGTTTAACATATACGTATAGAACTATGAAGACTGATGATCATCTGATCACTATATTTAACATGTTTTGTTTTGATTTCGCTTACAGAGTCATAACTCATTGTTATAATGTTAGTCACAGCAACCTATGGGCTTTTTTTTCCAATTCTTAGATTTCGAACGAATAAAAACGAATTAACGAATGAATCGAAAGAATAAACGAATGCCTCGTGGGAGTAGTGTGAATATACTTTAAGTGGATTTTTTCATTCATAAACTAAATTTTTTATTTATAAAAAAATTGCGACACTCTCCCCTACACTAAAGATGAACATAATCAAACGATGCATAAAATAATCATATGATAATTAACATCCCTCAGTTCAGCCTCTTGCTGCCACCTGGTGGAGTGACCTTTGGCTTGGCTTTGATTTTTCAGTTTGGGTTTAATATATAAGACCTTTCTCTTTACTATCCTCTTTATTTAATTTTAAAAAGTAAACTGATGGTGGATATTTACTATATTTGTCAGTATCTTTCGATATATGTAAAATACACGACCTTCATCCAATCAGAATTTTAAATATAAAGTCAGGGTTATTTTTAGATTCTTTAATTATTCAGACAAAATTATAACCGGACAAAATTATACTATTCTGTAAGCAGCAGTTTTTGAATGGTAGTTGCATATTATAAATATGTCTGTTTTTAGATTTTGGAAATTTGCCTTTGCTTTTGTGCAATTTGCGATAAAATAATTTTTAAACCATCGCGTAAATCTGTGATCGTCAGTTTAAATAAAATAAAAATAAAAATCTATAATCTGGCTCAGTTTAGCTGAGTAATATGTAGTTTTAAATTTCTCATTCAAAACAGCTTATTGGTCATTAAAGTTTTGTGTAATATCCCACAAAAATTCTAAAATTTATCAACTGCTATTTCTCTTCATCTAATTAAGCGAGCCTTTTACTTTCTACCTTTTTTTAAAAAGGTTTCGTAATGTCAAATAATACTGTATCATCAAAAGTTTGTTGTGCACAAAGAATTATCAATGAAATTAAACTTTAAAATAAAACATAAAATCTATGATAGTAGGGATGTGTATTCGGAATTTCCAGTTGTTATTGTGACAAAAGGTCCCACGCAGCGTAATGACTTGTTTCTGTAGTCCATCGCACTCGATTTTGCATGTTTTTGTCAAATCCCAAGTCGAAAGTAGGCGTTACTATTTCTGCACAATTGAGTAGAGTACATAACAATGTTGCCACGAGCGACTAAAAATACAAATAGCGGTGAGTAACAGAAGCCAAAATCTTATTAAAAGAGATTAAAATTAGCAACTTTTTAATATTATTTCTTTAGCTTAATATTAAAAGAGCATACAGTATGTTTGATTTGAAATGTAATACATAGTGGCAGCTATGATTGAATAATTAAAGAGACAATAATTAAATAAAAATTAATTGAGTTCTTACTACTTTTAACACTTCTAGTCGCTTGTGGCAAAGTTCTCATAGTTATTAGTGTAAAATTCAAAGATGAGCTTTCCTTTTAAAACAGTAACAAAAATTTTATTTCAGTGGGTTCTTAATACAATCTATGTTCTGTTTACATTATAAGAACGCCATCTAGTGGCCCTGAATAGCATTTTTATTATGAAATGCCATCTAGTGGCGTATAATTTGTCAGATTCTGCAATAAGGTTCCTGCGAAGCCTAATACGGGGAGACACGAGGCAGAGGGATGATGTAGTCTAATCCCGTATTAGTCATTGATTTTGAATATTTGCGAATTTGTACTTCCTTGTACTATCTCATTTGGATCCGCAATTGTAAATATTCTATCCGCTATTTGAAAATATTTCTCTTCCGTTCTTGTAAACATTATATTATAATATTCAGAATTTTTCTTTTATATATAATTCACATTATTGTACTTTTAACTCAGATTTAATTCATTCGTTGCCTATAGCAAAAAACTTAGTTGGAGATGCAGGTGCCGTAAGGGAAACACCTTGAAATTTACTTCAACTTTAAAGCATTAAATTATAGAGTTCGAACTGGGAGTCTGAGGTTTCAGAAAGGCTCTTTTCCCATTTATCTTTAAATATTGGATTTTGGGGTTGGTTAATAAAGTGGACAAATAGGATGGAAGGTAGGGTATAAATGGCACTCCACCTTCGTGATGAAATAAGTTTGCTGACAAAAAATGTTACATGAAGATTATATAATGGCGATCGCGAAGAGATACAAATGTATAAAGATGCGGGTGTGGCCAGGTCTAGTGGTAGCTAAGTTAGTTTTTCAATGTATTATTTTTTATTCATTTAAACCTATTTTCTACACCACTCCATATAAATGATTGAAGAGAACGTCACTTCAATCCAGCACTTTCGTGGTGAGGCTTTTAAAATGTTAGTAAAATTACCGGAAATTCTAAAAGCTTGGGTTTTTAATGGTCTACCACTTTATAAAATGTTTCACTTGTCTTCTGAGCAATGTACAAACCTTACCCTAAACTTCCATTCGTGTTCCAGTCAACTGATTGCTACTACCACAAGACCCGTACTACATGATGAATGGGAATGTGAAGGCCTCTATCACCCAACTCAAATTATAAAACTGTGAGACTATGACTTAAAGTCATGTGCTGATTGGGCACTTACAATTAGGTGCCTGATTTATAACACTTATCAAATCTTAATATTATATTGAATTTTTTTTAAAAACTCTGCTGATTTAATTTACATTTGATGCTTGTTAAACATTAAATATAGCAGGTTTCCGCAACTAACGTACAATAAGATACATTCGTAAATATTTACAGATTCCATAAAAAAAAAATTATATTAAAGATATTTAGCACTTTCGGGTGGCATCCCGAAAGTATGTTCTGCACAGCTTAACCACTAAAGAACAATTTCGATTCTCTGCAGAGGTTGTCAAGAACTTGTTTGTTCACGTATGTGAACAAGCAATAATGTAAATGAATGATATTAGGTATTCTCTTTCTAATCTTAAATTTCAAACATGTAATAATTAGTACAAAGGTAATATTTTAGTAGCAAATTGTCGTGCTTCAGAAGATTAGAAGTTGTTTAAAATTTAAAAAACTATTTCAAAAAAAAAAATTTACAGGTAAATTTCTCTATGTCATTAGGGTTTTGATTTTTTTAAGACTCAGTCGACACTACCGCCCTTCAGGGAATATATATTGACGTTCTAAGTTCTAATCCTCACAATGGCTGGCATATTCGAATGACGCTACCGATCCACACTGGTCACAATGCTTCGTAAAATGTCCCCTGTGAGGGTCAAATCATGGGTTATAATCCCTTTGCCATCAGTCTAACAGTAAGATATTTTTGTAGTTTTCCTATCCATGTAACGCAAATGGTAATTGTTGAATAAGTAAATCTCCACGGGAGCTAGATTACCTTATTTTCTTATCCTTGTTTTCAGGGCTGTGGTTGGGATTCAAAATTACAAGGCTATGGAGTTTAACTATGGGCTCACAAAACAAAAACTTGGCTTGCTGTTTGCCACTGATTGTGAAAAATTAATGAGCAATATAAGATAGTACTTTTGTAAATTATAAAACCAAAACTCTAGTTCTGAATAACTTCAATTAAGCATTAAGGGGCGTAAGCAAATATTGCTAAAACTGACCTTTTTCGATGAACCTTTTCTCAACCTTTAAATAAGATATTACTTCAGCTTTTATACATGTTTACACTATGATAAATATTAATTCATATTGTAAAATATAAAAATATTTCAAAATATCTGGCAAACAAAAGCGCGAATAAAAGAAACAAAACATATAACAAGATAAATTAAAATTAAAAGCACGAGATTTTTACTTGAGAGTTGGCGATTTTTGAGGAGATAGTTTTTGTTTTTCGAATTTGAGGTTTATACTAACCTGTTACGGGTTTTTCCATATTTGTTTGCAAGGTTATTACTAACCCAATTACGGATACTTTAGTTTTGTTACTTTATTTGTTGTTGTTGAATCAATGTGTTTTTTTTATATAAAAATAAAGAACTGTTTCTTAATATAGCTTGATTCGTTACAATATCTTTGGAAGAAAATTTTTGAAAAATTTCTAAACTAAAAACCTCTAATTTTTTGAAATGGTTTCATCAAAAAAAAAAAAAATTCTTAACTCAAAAAGTATTTCTATTAACGCTAAACTATTATCACAGCATACAACTGATACAATCTCAAATATCCCCAAAAATTTCAAAGCGATATCATGAGGAGTTTCTTAGGAAAGTTACATCGGGAAAAGTCAGTTTTGGCTTTTATTGATATATGCGCTACTGATTCTATTTTTTTTTTAAATTTTTGTTTCCGTTTTATAACTTATTCCGTTTTGTAACTTATTCTCAACTTTTTTTACAGATTATAACACATGCAGTTTCTACTATTGGAAAGTGGATTGGGAATCGGCAAATAATACATGCGAAACAGACAACAAAAAACTTCTTTGTTACAATTCTAAAAAGGAAATCGATGACATTACAGAAGCTTTTAGGCTATCTGCTTATGGTGATGCCGAGCTGGAACTTTGGCTGTCACATAGAAACTGTTCAAGACCTGACGAGTCAGTACAAATCATTTATTTTTTCTATTATTTCTAAATCGAAAAGTAACTGATTTGTAACTAAGCAGTTACAATAATGTTATTAGTATGCGAATATATTTCTTATAAATAATTCGTGTCGTTGCATAAGGATTCATGTTGTGGAGCGCAGAACTCAAACGAATAAGTGAAGCGAAGCAAAGAACTCCCTCCTCCGTTCACCTGGGACATAATTTAAGACAGGTTTTTGGTTCGGATCGGCAAGCTCAAGGGAATCTGGAAAGAAAATAGCTCCCCTCTTTGAAATGGGCTATAACCTTGTTTCCATAGCAGCAGACAGCCTTAGACTTCGTGGCGAGGGGAATTCTTTCTATAAATCAACTATGTATGTGATCTATAGAATGCTCTGCTTTCTGCGAAAGTATTAATAGGCTTATAGATTAAGGATAATCACGCGGAATTATTAAAAGTGATATCACTCGATTTCAGCAATAAATTTTCATTTAATATGATTATGCGGATTTTTGATATGTGATGGTGGAAAACTTACTTAAAAGAAAATTTCTAAACTAAAAATAACTTATATTTCGCTACCACTAGACAATACATTTTTACAAAGCAGAACAAGTTGACAACTCTGCTATATGGTTTGCGGTACGGTTTGAGAGAGGTACGATTTAGACAACTTTCCTCTAGCTCGCTATAAAAATGTCTCCAATCTTTCATTTTGGTGTTTTCGAATTCAAAGCCTCCATCTCATTTTTTAATAAGATAAATTATACTCAGCTATTAACGTGTTTACTCGTTAGAACTCAATGTGAGCGTTACGATTAGTTTTCCTCAAAAGGTTAAGAACAAATACGACAATATACTTCTTTATTAGATTTTCCTTTAATTGGAAATAGTCAATAACTTGATCACCATGATTTAAATAAAAGCAATGCTTCTAATATCGATTTTTAATCATATAAATGTGTTTTTTTTTAATGTATAAAAAATAAACTTATTTGATAGCTAACATAAGTAAATATCAGCTTAATTCAAATTTTAATGCGTTATAAATTTTTTTCATTAAAAAAAATTCCTTTTCACACGATTGCCATGCTGACATTGCTTTGTTAGATTGATAGTATGAGCTCCATCAGTAAAACTCTACTCGCAACATATGCCTGTTTAGGCAAAGGGGTGTGATTGTTCTTGTTTTCCAGTGGTGCCATCTATGGCCAAGTTTTTGACTTCTGCCAACCCCTACGTCACACACGTTTATAGGGCGGACTCATTCATTCATCCACAGGTCGTAATTTTGACCTGAATTAGAGAATGATCGATCTCCAATACAGTACCCCCAGAGGTTTTAATTTGTTATGGGAAAATGGAGGACTTTACAACTCATGATTTAACTGATGATGGAGACTGATGATTTAACATGCATCAGTCACCATTTACTACTCGGGGAGTCTTCGGCCAGCGGGGTTCGAACCCACGAACTGTCGAACATGGGTCCAGCGTCCTACCGACCAAGTTATCTCGGCCTTTCTATGCCTTTTGATTTCAGAATTTGAATTTTTAATGTGGACGAAAATCATTGAAAATTTTATAGATTTATTTTTAATAATGAAAAAAACTCGAATGTACTTTATTTATTTAATTTTTTTCTATTAAGTTCACAAGTTTTTTTTAAAACCTGTTTGTTTTCATTTCATTGTGTAGTGCAATGATTGGAGAGATTTCTGTATCGTGATCTATGGCAGAATAATCGCCAAATCTCTGCAACTTCTGGGCAGCTGCCTGCGAGAAAGAAAAAAAAAAGTTACAGAAAGGGAGCAATTTGAAAGGCTTGACTCGTAGCCACCCCTGGGGAAACATCTACATATTTTTTTTAAAAAATCTATTTTTATGAATAAAGAAAAACGTTTAAAATCTGTTTGGCACCTCGGAAATTGCAATTTGAGCGACATGCTACGGAAATATCCCCTAATGATTTATTATCTGTCTTTAACCTGATGTGTTTATGGCAATCGCTTTGGAAACCAACTATTAATTCCGTAGCGACTTAACCAAATTTAATTGTACGCAAGAGTAACGGAAAACAGGTCTTGTTTATTTAGGAAGGTATATCGCGAGCAACAATACATTATAAAAACCATTTCAATCTAGTCCGCTGTTTCACTTAATAATGGTTAAATAATTGTCGTTTTTCTTTACTATGGTTAGCCGTGTCATATATAGAGGGGCCCAAATCAATGGAAATTGAAATTAATTTTAATTAAAAGTTACCACTAAATACTTACTTTCAATCACCATAGTATATTAATTTTACCTGCCAGAGAACAGTTGGGTTGGTTAATAAGGCGTGTTTAACTGCGTAAAGACCGCCCATTTGCGGCAATTTATAAAGACCATTGCTGAATAGTAAATGGCAATTTCTGAGCAGAGTCAAGAAATCTATAAGAACTCACATCCATACATGGGAAAAAAATTACATTAAATACAAAGAAGCAACTGCAGTGGCAGCATGCCTATTAACCAATCCTTTTGCGTACAGTTTTTTGATATCTTTATTGTAATGTTTCGATAGATAATTCTGAGGTAATGGACTTGTGTAGCAAAAATTTAATTTACGAAAAGTTTTTGCACGCATCTGTTAAAAACTCATATTTTCAAATACAGTACAGTGTTAACTGTTAGCGAAATTTCGAACTAAATTTTTACGACGAAAACATCAACTGTATGATGTATACTGCATTTGACGTTTTGTCCATTACCGTTAAGCATAAACAGAACTACCGGCGCCTGCATCTTGTTAGTTTAATTTTAACCATCACGTATAATTAATTACATGCAAATACTTTTTCAAAAACTATTATTTATTTTTAAATTATTTAATTAATTAATGATTAAAGTTAAATTGCTATAACATGGGAATTTTAAAATTTTTGTAAATCATTTCCACAATACGGAGTTCCCAAATGCCTTAAAAATATTAATAGTGAGATTATTTTAAAACTAATATGAAGTTTTTTTAAGGATCCCACATTTTTATACAAGTATGCTTTATTTAAAAAATCATACAATTGTGTTCGCCGATGTATTAAAATAACAAGATGTGTCTCCGTATTGTCACGACTTATTGACAGCTTTAAACATTTATAAGTTTATACAATATAAGTTGTAATAAACATACCTCTTTCATCATGTATTTTTCGTCACATCTACTCATGGACACAACATCGACGGATCGGTTAATGCCGCTCCGCGGCAGCCGACCAAGAAGTTTCTAAGCTATTCAACAAGTTTATTCAAGCTATTTCGAACATTTCATATCACATTGTCGTTATTATGTGAAAATGCGATCATTATACCCAAAAATATTCAAATGTTTCTTTTTCTTTTGTTCATACAAGCGAAAATAAGAAATTAATGCAGCGCCTGTGCTGAGGATTCCAAATTATTAGTCAGTAAATTAGCCAAATCTCAAAAGCATTCCCCAACTTTCAAAAGTCTTCTCCAAATGCAAATCTTGAAAAATTTTTATGATTAATTTTTTACCATAGAAAACTATTCTACAGTAGTTTGTTTCAGGTTTATGTTATTTGGACCCATTTCTAATTGGTTATGCGGTGCATCAACCAGTAATTACTGTAAACGAATAAAAAAAGCACTGATTTATTTAGAAAAATAAAAAAAAATTTTGGCGTAATTTTGAGGATCGAGTTAAATATATATTTTTCTTTCCAGTGGAAAAAAATATCATTCACCAATACTTTCGCCAAAACACTATTTTATTTGCCAAATTTACGGTTTTAACACATTTGGCGAGGTGGCGAATACTAACCATCCCTACTTCCTAACGCTCTTTGCCCCAAAACTACAGCGCTATCTCATACAGAATCATAGCTTATTATTTATTTATTTTTCCCTACAAACCAAGCTCGCTTTCTACCAAAATGATTCCGTTTAAAGCGTGTCACAGGGTTCGACAACATGAATAATTTCAGAAACTGAGATATTTCCGTATCGTGATCTGCCGCGCCTACTACTATCGCCAAGATGCCAAATGTATTTCGAACTAGCAAATTTAAGAAGAAAAAAAATTTTAAAAAAATATGATGGGGTGTGCCTAGGGCTGGCTATGAGTTTTACTATCCTTAGAGTTAGGTACCTTTTGTAATGATCTTTTTCCCAGTTGTAAGCTGACAAGACTTGGCGATTAATCTGCCGCATATCACGATATAAAATTCTTACCTCAGAAACTATATATACCTGCATAATAACACAATTAATTACGGAAATAATCAACTTTTTTCGGAGAGTGAACATGTAAAATTTACATAATTTCTGTCATGGAACTTGTATTCTCCTTTTTAGAATTTTAAATATGTGGACCGTTAACACTGCTTAAGATTCACTGTAGGACAAGTTGTATTGTAATGATGTAGTTAGGTTGGTATGTGGTAGAGCTATGTTTTTGGAAGTTATTTATTTTATTATCATTACTTTCAGAGAAGAAAAATGTCTTTCGCTACATATTCAGAAGTCAGGATCAAGTATTTGGCACTTTTTCCAAAGTGATTGCAGAAATAGGCTGCCATTTGTATGTTGTATTAAAGAAGGTAAGTTCTAGCTCAATCCATTTCGCGATTTACACTTCATTCTGTTGAGTCTAAGACGTACAAAGTAACATGCTTTTTTTTTAAAAAAAAAGACACAAAATTAATGTAAAATTGTTAAAAAATTTTACTTTCAAACTATATGTTGTTTGAAAGTAACACACCTAAACCATATATTTTATAGTATTTTAAATTACACTACCCTATAATGAAATTTGTAGAAAACCCCTAATCATTTTGAGCTTCCTTTTTAAAAAGTATAAAAGCTACTTAAAATTGTTTGAAACTTTTTAAATTAAGATATTCAATTAAAATTGCCAAATACGACTCACTACAAAATTTATGAAGAAAAAAACACAATATTTTTAATTGTTTCCCGCATGCGCAATATAAAATAACTAGTTTAAATATCTATATTTTGCGCAGTTTTTTACGAATTTTTTTCAAACTTGATAACAATAATTTTACAATTAATATTGTTTAATTAATTAATTAATATCCTAAAATTATGTTTAATTTTATTCAATATTTTTAAATTTATAGTAAAAAATGTAACGCAGTTTTTCTAAAAATGTCCGTACCTCCGTAATAAGCTGGTTTATGAAATTCAATGCATCTGTTGAAAAGGACAACCAAAGTAATAGATACAAGTTGCAAGCGTATTGCTTGATTTTCTTTCATAGGATGTTCAAAAATACTTGTTTTCTTTCGTAATCAATACAGTCAGTCTCTTAAATATTCGAAAGCTTTAGACCATATTGATAAGTCAGAAAAATTGCATGACTAAACAACTCTCAAGTCACAAATTAATCTTCTAAGTATTTACTGAGAAATTTAAAAAAAAATGTCAAGCACTGAAAATTATTCCATTATTGTACTGTAATGTATGTCACATTTAAATGCTTAGAGACTATGCTCCCATTTTATCTAGTGGTCTCCAGGTATTATGAAAAATGTACAAACACCGAGTTTTATCTAGTAAACTTTTAGTGGTTGTGGTTAAGGTAATTTTTAACTTGTTACCAACTTACAATTTTTGTATCTTTAACTAACAGTAACTGTAAATATCATCGTAATAGTAAATGATGCCGTACTCGATACATTGAGCTTTTACTGTAATTTAAAATATAATAGTCTAAACTAGAATTAATTATTTACTATCTTTTTTTTAACATGTCTTTTGTAAAAATAAATTAAAGAATTTCTTGTCTGTTATGTAGGAAATATGTCCACAACGACCCCATGGACTTCCATGCCTTCAAGCCTTCATACAGACACTTCACCCACAACTACAGTTCAAACCTCCACCCTGGCCAATCATTGCCATGGACAAAAAAGAAGAGGACTTTACTGGCCAAACACGAAATTCGGACAAGTTGCCATTCTACCATGTCCTGGAAATTCTGTAGGTAAATTGGAACTTTAATCATACAATAATAATTTTGATCGTATTTTCAAAAATATATAGATATATTAAATGGATATGCTTTAACATTAATGTCTGAGCAAACTATTATACCTGACTGTTATACCTATTATATTATCAAATGAGAATCAAATTTGGTTGCTGTTTACTTAGTATATCTAACATTTTAATATTCTGAATCGAAATGTGATAATTCACACACTAGATAGTTTTTGTTTTTGTTTGTTTTTTTAGATTTCGATTGATATTTTTGAGATCACGAAAATAACCAAGCAAAAAATACCCGCAAGTTGAAATGAGGGTATGAGGATTATAGGATATATTTTATAAGATTTTCTTCCATTAGGCATGCAAATTACCTAGAGAGAGACCTTTATTCTTAAAAAATAATTATTCTAATGACAAATTTAAATTTATGTACAGATTTGTACCGGCACCAAATTTGCTAAATATTCTTTAGTTTATAGTCAATCGATTCTTATTGTCGTTTTTTGGGGAGTTTTTTCTTAGTACAAGTTTTTAAAAAATCGCTCTTTTATTAATCTAGCAACTCAAATTACCTCCATAGAAATCTCAAATGGTAATAAGATTAAATTTTGTTATAAATGAAGAACACATTTTTAACAGAATTTATTACTACAATTTCTTCTACTGAATATCGACAGTCTTTTTTCTGGTAAAAGTAATAGTCATAGACCAAGTGTAAATATTACATTAAACCTGTGGTTTCCAATTTGATACACTTATGGTTCGCAAGTTTAGTCAAGTAATAATTTAAGAAACTAATATTTCTTTAACAATTCACTTTTACTGAATTTGAATTTACTCAGCTAAGATAAACATGCAAATAATTTAAATGAATAAAATGTTTCTACTTTTTCTGATTCCAAATAGATTTTTATAAATGATTGAAACTATTTTTTTTTGTGCAAAAATTGTTGGCTGTTTTCATTTATACTTGTTTTTTAAATAATGCAAATCAAGAACATTTTTCAATCGCAAACACAACTTACTCTTTTTTTTTTCAATTGTAAGGCAAAAATTTATTCTTCATTAAGAGCTTGGGATAATTCTTTTAAACTCTCCATCATAAAGAAATTAAATATGTGAATAAAAAGATAGGAGATGAAAAAACCGAGGCTATTGTAGAGTTTAAAATTATTGCTTTTAATACTTATGTGGTCACAAGTTTTATTTTCTCAATATATTTAAGATAAATCATCTAACCGTAATTAGAATCTGAATCGCGATTATTCTATCATTATGGGTATTTGTGATAGTACTGTGGTCAGACAGGTATAAGAACAGTATACGAATCAATCAACTAGGAATCAAAACCGTGAATAAAAGTCATTGCTGGATTCATTGAAAAACTCTAAACAACAATTAAAAATAATAATGTGCTGTAGTATACTTTGACTTTGCAACTTATGAGTCCTGTTATTGATCAGAAACTTGCCTTTCGCAATTCCATTCGTGCAATTAATTCTTTATTTGACTTTTAGGGGAAGCAAAATGGGTGTGCGAAAGTCAAAATGGCGGAAGATGGAGACACAGAGGTCCTGATTTCAGCAAATGTAGATCTTTGGATGTTATCAACATTAAGGATAAGGTACGTTAAATTTAATAAGTAAAAGAGAAATTGTGGTAAAAGTTGTATTGCCTTTTGGAATTCTAAACAATGCTGATAAGGGGTAAAGAGAAATATGAATTCTAATTGTTCGAAAAGTAATTTCGGTTTTTTCCCCCAACGGATGACTTAATATTTTTGCACAGCCGAATTCACACATAATCATTACATATATGGACAACTGATAGAGCAAGGTTTGCTGATAAAAGAAGTTCGATTTAAGATAATGAAGACGCAATAAAGGATTAATTAATGCAAACCAGCGATGAAATCCCTGTGATATTATATTTATCGAATTCGACTATTCATGATCATTTTGAAATTCTAATGTGTAAACTTGAAGCCTAGCATATGGATTTCTTATGATTTCATGCAAAGAAGTTAGTGCTGTCGCGTTGACGTCTGTGATTTGCTTCCCAACAAAGTATGCATTCGTAAATGAGAGCTCAACTTACTAAGACATTTTGGCCTTTAGAAAACACAAATAAAAAAAAGTAACTTGAAATAAGAATCCACAGTTAAATTTTTGAAGTAAAAGCAATTGTGAAAATCTACATCACATTTGGAAAGCAAAAATCAAAAGAAATATTAAACTTTTACAATGAACTGTTTTAAAACTTAACAAATGATTTTCTTTCTCAGACATTAATTTACACGAATATTTTCTCTTGTAGATGGACAATTCTAGCGTATCAGAGACCATTTCATTGATCGAAAATGTTTTTAAAGATCAAGAAAAAGAAATTTTTGTCGAAGATCTTGTTGACATTGTGTCCATCATGAAAGTTTTGCCTGATAAGATGTCTTTAGAAATGGATAAACTTCCGCTTCACGCGAAATGGTCTCTCATTTCTGACACTGTTGAAAAGTCTGCATCCCTTGTTGATAGCATGGTTGAACTACATAACACATGGAGTGACGTAGAAATGGTATATATATATTTTCTTCTATACTTACTTAAGATCAATTATATTACAATTGACAACAGAATAACTCCTGAATTAAAAAACCGACTCTATCTGGCAAATAGGGCTGAGATAGTCTATGGGCTGAGAAGATTTATTAAATCTAGGTTTCTTTCGAGAAAAACAAAGTTCTTAATCTACAAAACTCTTGTCAGGCAAGTCTTGGCATAAGCTTCTGAAGCTTGGACAATGACAAAACTGGAGGAAAATTGTATCACAATATTTGAGAGAAAGATTTTGCGGAGTATACTTAGTATACTTGGTGTAAATGAAAACAATAACTGGAGAAGGAGATTTAACTTTGATCTGTACAAGATTAATAAACAACCCGATATAATTAACTACATAAAAATAAATAGAATGAATTGGATGGCCAACGTGATTCGAATGAGTGATGACAAAGCAATAAAAAAGATGCTGCCTTTTAAACCCATAGGGACAGGAAAACAGGGAAGTCCGCGGTTGAGAGGGGCTTACTCGGTGGAGTCTGATTTTCTTATTAATGAAAAGAAATGGAGATCAAAGATAAATCTGAAGTCATTATGGAGAAATCTTCAAAGAAAGGCATTGGCCCACATTGGGCTGTCTGGCCAACTATGATGATATTTTTTTTTCATTGACAAATTTTGATGATTGAAAGAAACAGTTGAAAGTCCAAGTATCAAATGTGTTACATAAACAGGGGATTTTAAGCATTACGGGAACTTGTGGAGCGAAATTTAGTGTTTGCTTAATTCTCTTTATTGTAGTTTTGTGATAAGCTTATTAAAGATTCAAAAACATTTTTAGGGAAAGAGCTGTAATTTTCAAAACAACTTTCATCTGAAAATGTTAAAATGAAAACAATAAAAACACTGTATGCTGGAATCCACTCATTATCTTATTTTACTCGAATTATAGCACTTAAACAAATGAATTTGGGAAAATCGTATACAATCAAATTTAGACTAATGACTAAAAAAATTATTGAGAAATTTATAACCCATGTCATTTTAGACATAAAATTAATAATGTCATAAGTATGTAAAATAATATTATTTAGACTGAGCACTTGAATATATAGTAATAATAATAATAATATAAATAGATGCATCTGGTATAAAAATCAAACATTTTTTAGCGTGCATCATAATTAAAATAAAGACACATAATTTTTTCAAGATAATAAATCGCAATATTAATTTGTTTCTGCATGGAAAACACTGAATATTCAATATTAGCATTAACATAATTTAGTCAAGCAAATATTAAATTTGTTAAACTTTACATTCATTAAACTTCGAGCTTAATTCTAAACAAGTCAAATTAAGAAGGTTACATTGACTAACTTTAACAGATAAAAAAAAATTGTTTCTTTTTTATTCGTGAAAAAATCACTAGGCTACGAAAACAATATTGATTTTATTTTTTTCTCAGAAGGTGATAGAAAGTATTAAATTTTCTGAAATAATCCTTACAAACTGTTTGTTAGCATAATTACTGTATACTACAAATCCGTATCATTCTTACATCTTTCTTACTGAACTAATAATCTTTAATTTTCAAATCTAGAAATTTTCATCAACTATTATATTTCAAAAGGTACCATTGAAATGTAACAAAATGTGGGCTTAATGTAACGTATTTTTAAATACGTTACATTAAGCCCACATTTTCATTAAGTTACATTAGGGCATAATTCATTATACGTATGTTTGTTCGGGTGACTCCAGTGCGTTAATAATCACGTGACTCTCAGCTTTAGATAAAAACGTTAGGAAACTTTTTTTTGGCTAAAAAATAATTTAATAATTAGCACTCTTAGAAAAGTAATAACATGTTTTCGATGGATTATAAGTGATACTGAATGCATTGTGATTTTTTTTTCTAAAAAAATGATTTTAATTGTTCATTAGTTCTAAATCCAAATAAAGCAACTAATTTATTATACGGAAATGGTTTTTTCAACTACTACAATTTGAAGTGAAAGGAGCTTATAAGCACTTTGAATTAATTTCCGTTACTTAAGTTTTATCAGTTGCAGTTTAATTATGAAGATACTTTTTAATTTAAATTAATATTTATTTAATCGTTTTTTACGGAGCAATACTAAAATTTCCATGTCCTATAAACTGAATCTTCAAGCAAATTTATATGTGTAAATATGCACTGTTGTAATTTGCATTTATGTATCGCAAACGGCCTGCTACTGTTTAACATTCAGGGTACAATGTTTTTGTTCTATCATATTTCTTGGCACTTATGAATGCTTGGCAAACCAAATATTTTGATCTTTATTACCGAATCAGACGGTGGCTAAATCTTTAATTTCTATTCTGTCTTAATCTGTCAAGATTTATCTATCACATGGTAATCAATTAAGCCTGGTATACTCTACATTAAGCATGGTATACTCTAAAACTGTCTATCATATATCACATTTTGAAATAGTTCAACAGAAATAAAATTTGTAGAGGAATTTTGTGTAGAAAAGGAGATAATTAATTATATTTGCTTTTGTAAGTTACAATCAAAATATTTTCAGTTACTCAACTATATTTTCAACAGAAACAGAAACCAATAATGGGAACTGACTTGTTATCCTCAGTGGATGGATTTGGAATTTTATTGGCTGATACTATGGCGGACGATATTGTGGAGAAAAGTGTTATTGGAAAGAACATGGGTAAGTTATAATCATTTGAATTTAACGCTAAAGGAGGCTAATTTTAAAAGGACAGTTCTTTCCTCAAGAATGGAAAGAAAAAAACATGCTTGCTGGAAAGTTTCTGTATTGTGATTTATTTTGCAAAGACAATATATTTCTGTTAATATTATCTATATTATATTTTGATGGTGAACAGAAAATTTTTTTTAAGCTGAAGTAGTAGATAACAGAAAGAACTTTCCACCTCGTATAATCAAATATATATTATTACTTTGTTTCGTATAAAATTTTTCTTTTACGTGTAGATCACTTACAGTGGCTAGGCATTAATGTGTTTAACGATTACTTATAAACCTTTAATGTTTATGTTGGCGCTACTCGCTGTTTTGGCTACGTTTTTTATTTTTTCTTTAATTTGGCTAAAGAAGAGCTCACTTGTTGTTCTTGTTCTGTTGTAGTCGAAAGTCTTGAAGAATGGCTTCATTGATCGTTTTATTAATAAACATTGTTAAATAGTCATAGTTTGTCAATCCCTAAATCTACGTTTAAACAGTCCGCTTATCGACCCCCTCAACACTTCATTTTCTACAAAGAACTTCAAATAAAAACCGTTTAATATGCTCCGTGATATTCACCCTTTATAATTTATAATTTTGAAACTACTATCAAAAATGAACTAGCATAAGTATGCACATTAGAAGGTTGCAAATTACGATTTAAACCAGCAAAACACAAAAAAGACTTAGCAATCTGCTGAATCAGTTCAAAGAAAAGTGTGATTAAAAACATAAAAACCTGCTCTAGTGTAAGATGAGAGAAGAGTTGATTATCAAAACAAAAGCCCCTTAAATATAGCCTTACTTCTTTTTCAGCTTTGCAAGTTCTTCGGACTAAATATGGTGAATCAATGGAACTTCCGCAATGGACAGTGACCAGTCACTACAGCAAGAAAAGCAGCATAGTTTTAGATGAAGGTTATGACAAACATCTGAATCCTGCATTGGGGAACATCGCTGTCGTATTTACTTTGTATTCGAATTTAAGCGGCATTCTTCAGCCTCAGGTATCTCAAAAGTATGTGTTGATATTCAATTTCACTGCAAACATTTTTTTCAACAGCTAATTACCCGATCTAGTTAAAAGAGAAAAATACTACTAGTTAACTATATTCCCACAAACTTCTAATATTTTTCGTTGTCTTCTTTCTTAGTGGTAGTGAAGTTAATAATCTTAATATTTTAACAAATTAGACTTTTAAAAAAAATGTGCACCACTAGATATAAATATTTTAAACAGATGTATTAAAGGTCAGCTCAAATGGCTATTTGCTTAAGTTCTGATTAAAATTTAACAATTATTTTTCTATTTATTTTAAACTCATCTGCTTTGGTTCCATACTACTGGAAAAAATATTTCTCGAAAACCTCAACTATTACACTTGGCATCTCTCAAACTTATAAGATGTGACAGATAAAACTAAACATTGAGTTCTCAACTATTAGGAAAATCAGAAGCAATGTCCCACAGGGTTCTATGCTTGGACCTATACTTTTTCTTGTCAATTGTGCAGACTTTCCCTTTGTCAACAATGATCGTTATTTCCTAACTGTCTCCTACGCTGACGGTACGGAACTAATCAGCAAATCTATGTGCACAAAGGAAGCTATATCAACAAGGGTATCCCATTCATCGAGAAGTGGTGTACCGAGTTTAAGACTGACATTAATGCTAGAAAATCGGCTCTATTGGTCATAACAGTAAAAGAAAGGACAAAAACAATAGTCTTTTTAATGAGATCATACCAAGAGTAATCAAAGCCAATTATTTGATTATGGCTATCAACAACAAATCCAATGGACCGATGACATCAATAGCATCACGTAGAAAGCGAATGGAGTGTTCGGTGCCCTCCACCATGACTTTATATATATNACATTTTTTTCAACAGCTAATTACCCGATCTAGTTAAAAGAGAAAAATACTACTAGTTAACTATATACCCACAAACTTCTAATATTTTTCGTTGTCTTCTTTCTTAGTGGTAGCGAAGTTAATAATCTTAATACTTTTATAAATTAGACTTTTAAAAAAATGTGCAAAATATTAAAGGTCAGCTCAATTGGCTATTTGCTTAAGTTCTGATTAAAGTTTAATAATTATTTTTCTATTTATTTTAAACTCATCTACTTTGGTTCCATACTACTGGAAAAAATAGTTCACGAAAACCTCAACAATTACACTTGGAATCTTTCAAATTTATAAGATGTGCCTGATAAAACTAGCCAGTGAGTTCTCAACTATAAGGAAAATCAGAACAAGTGTCCCACAAGGTTCTATTCTTGGAGATATACTTTTTCTTGTCTATTGTGCAGACTTCCCCTTTGTCAACAATAATCGTTATTTCCTTACTGTCTCTTACGCTGACGATACAGAACTAATCAGCAAATCTGTCTGCCCAAATAAAGCTATATCAACAGAGTTATCGCAGACATCGAGAAGTGGTGTACCGAGTTTAAGATTGACATTAATACTAGCAAATCGGCCCTATTGGTCATAATAGTAAATAATAGTATTGAGATCATACCAAGAGTAATCAAACTTAATTATTTGATTGTGGCTATCAACAACAAATCCAATGGACCGATGACATCAATAGCATCACGTAGCAAGCGAATAGAGTGTTCGGCGCCCTCCATCAAGACTTCATGAACTATAATTCGCACCTAGAGATGAAAACTAAGGTTAGGTGATACAATGTGTCAGCCCGATTATTACCTATGCTCAGTAAAAGTAAACTCTCTAGAACTAAGTTCGTAGAAAAATTTTTGGATCGCTTAGATTTGTTCGAAATACCACACTAAGAAGAGTTCTCAAGGTTCCTGCCATCAACGAGCATATTGCTTGTCTGAAGGGTTAAATTCCTAAGTGTAAGAATTAAATGCACCACTGCGAACTACTTAGACGTCTTTAACTTCGAGATCATCGAAGGAAGGGACAAATATAGCTCGTTAACTGCATTCTTTCTCTGAGATGGGGTCCTTTCCCATCAATTTAAAAGCTGTATAAAGTTGTCCACAATTATTTTTATTTTATAGTAAATCTTCTTCATTTTTCACCACTTCATATATCCCTATTAGCTATTGTGCAAGATTTCTATCCTTCCCCCTTTTCTTTAACTTTTTTACGTTTTTCAATTCAGATAAATGAGTAAATGCCTTCTGAAGGCAGTATGCATAAGACAAAATTGATGAAGAGACGTTTTAAAAGCGTTCATTATAAGAATTATCAAAATCAATCGCGTAATTTTCATTTTAAAAATAAAATACAACTTATGTGTTTAATATGGTACCATAACTCAGTGTTACTTTTTTTTTTAAGTTCTGTAATCACAACATAAATAAAGAAAACTAAAGAAAACTGGAAGTTCCTACATATGTGGACCATTGCGTCTGTTGCTACTTTTATACGGAAATCACAGTTATTTTTGGTCTGCGCTTGTATAAACGAAGGGCTTAGGGACTACATAGTGATAAACTACACGTTATACTACCCTACCATTGTGAAAAATTGTTGCATTGTATTGTTTTCAAATCAGTTCTTAACAAGTGTCTGGAAATTTCAGAATGATTTTCATAGAATATGATTTTGCATACATCCAAATCATTGTATTGATTTCATGAAAATGCTCACCTGGACAATTTAAAACTGTCAATTATCTTTAATATTGCCTCAAGTCTTTTAAATGTTCCCTTTCATTCTTTATATTCTTACTATTCACTTTCCCTCACATTCTATTTTTATTTTTCATATTCCTGAACTACACGGCACCGAGTTAATTTCACCTTCTTAGCATCAATCCTTCGAAATAATAGAAGGTGTTAATTATGTACAGCTAAGTTATTTAACAGTTTTTTAAAGGTTGAAAATTTGAACCCTTTTCCTAGGTGATATCTTTATCTCGGTTAGATGGCTTGATCACTACATTGATTGAAGCACATTAGCATTTGATTTGAGCCAGTTCAAACTCAACAGTTGTGTTTTAGAGGAACGAGGATATTTCTTTACAACTAACATTTAAAAATTTACAGACGAGAATATAAAGCAAACCATCATTACGTCATCTTTATGGGCAGAAGAAAATTCAACATGACGTCATGTGCTTAATTAATNAACTATATATTGCACTTCATTCCCCCGACTTTGTTCCTTCTGCTTTATTTGATCATCCACGCTGTGCAATGTATGTACGGAAGTTGTACAGTGGTGTTAAATTAATAATGTATACAATTTTGAAAAAGTAAATGATCTTCTTAAATATAATGTAACACAAATGTAAGAAATATGCATAACTGATTACTTCTCGTTCCCGTGATGTTGACGACCTGGAGTGTTCAGTAGTAACGAACCAATAAGAATAAAACTAATTCATTTCTTTTGCCCGGAAAAAATTTTATTTCTCATTTTGCACACCTGATGGCAGTACCGGGATATTTTTAAGGTAATTGTAGATAGTTAGTTTATTTTAAATTAGTTGCAGCACTAACCTCGTGGGAAGGCGAGGCAGTCTGCCACAAAAACCTCTTCTTTCTCTTAAATTTTTTTGTTTAATTTTGCTACTTAATTTTAATTTTCACTCAGAAAATGTTACTGAACCCCAACTTTCACCATTCATTTGCGCTTAGGCGATTTATTATTTATATTCCCACTCAGATGAATTAGTTAGAGCACCTGGTAAGATAACCACCACATATGAGTAATGAGTAGTTGCAGCACTAATCAAATGCGTAATACAAATACAGAAGCCAAAAAAATAGGCACTTTTATGACCACTTTCTTGAAAATTAACCGATCGTTAAGGGGTTAATCATTTACTGACTTAGAATTTTTTTNTCCTTCTGCTTTATTTGATCATCCACGCTGTGCAATGTATGTATGCAATGTACGGAAGTTGCAGAGTGGTAAATTAATATGATGTATACAATTTTAAAAAAGTAAATGTAATGTAACATAAATGTAAGAAATACGCATAACTGATAACTTTTTTTTATCATTTACTGACTTAGAATTTTTTTAACCTTTAGAAAGGGCATGATACCAACTAGTTTAAACTCTGCTGTCGTGAGCGCTACGGTCACCCAATCAAGAAAGAGCGTAGGAATCAGTAGTACAGTCAAGATACTCGTCGAACACCTGACTTCAGACCCAAACGACACTGCCTGCGTGTACTGGAGCATAGAAAAGTGAGTCAAGCATTCTTGCCTTCCTTGACTTTCGGTAAGATGAGCTTTATAAAACTATGTAGTGGTACAGAACAGCGTTTCCTGAAAAGTGTTCCAATGACCTTCTAATAAAAGAAGGTCGATCCTTTCGGATTCCATATCTGAAAAAAATTCGGAATTGCTAGTATAGTGACAATAGCTACATTGCCACTGTCAATTGATGGTTGTTTGTGCGTCCCCTACTAAGTAAATCCAGTTATAAATAGGGTGATACTTAAAATTTTACTCACAGTTTAAAAAATTCATCTTTTTACAAGAAGAATATTAGGAAACATTGTAATTGTATGGAAGCTCCCAGCCATTACAATAAAAGTAATATTGATATTGTCACTTGGGGACTATTTGAGCGGGTTCTTATAGAGACCATGTGTTTCAGAGTTCTTGCTATTAGTCCCGATGACCGATTCGTTAAAATCATATATTTAATTCATTCAAAAACATTGTTATTTGAATCACGCTCATTTCCATAAGATTTATCACACCTAGAAAGAGTTGTCAAAATGAAACGGAATTTTACTTACGTAAGTACAACGTTGATACAAGTTAGTGATTAAAAAATGTACGCAAACTAATTATTTATTGCAAAAATACAAATGAATGGAGGTTTTAAAGCCCTGTTTGGTTACTTCAACCCCAAACGTAGGATGCGATACGGTCCGGTATTGAGGCATACAAGTCACTTATGATGTCATGCAGCATCTCGCTCCAGAGTAGTTCTAAAAATTCCGCTAAATCAACTAAACTGGGAAGTTGTCTATTTTGCAGTCGCGAGTGGTCCCAGATAGGTTCATTTGGTGACAAATATGGAGATCAAACTGGCCAAGAAACAGTGGTAATGTGGCACTCTCCCTGCCAGCATTTCTGTTGCACCCTTGCTGTGTGGCTGTGTGAAAAATAGGTCATTACAGATCTGCCTTGAGTGACAATTCATGTGGCTGCAGGATGTCACGAACGTACAGCTGGACTCTCATGACACCCCGTGGATTAATGTTAAGGAGTGATCATGTATCATATACCCGTACTGTCACACCAGTTGTAGAAGCGGTGTGCTGCTTTACAGTGAAGGCGGGATTGAGGCGTTCACAAGGGGGGCCTCCGCACTCCTACACGATGGTCATCACAACCTAAATTCTATCTGGATTCATCACAATAAAGGACTTAGTTCCATTCGTTTGTAGTCCTATCCTGTCTAGAGCGACACATCTCTAAATAGAGTTGACGGTGGGCGTCATGTTCTGATAACGTCACGTTTCAAGCGTTTTCCTTCTTTTTTTCGGTTTAGGAATCAATGGTCTAGAGGGTGAGGTTGGGGTCAAGTATCATTGAATACAACTTTTGGAAATATTTCCGAATTTCGTTTTTAAATTATTTTATTGGGTTCGTACTTCTCAAAATCCAGACTTTTTAGACACCCGGTAAATGGTTACATTTACCGCTTGTAGATGTAACCATTTATGTCTGTAAAAAAATACATAAATTTTGTCTAATTTTTCAGAAATCAGTGGTCTACGTGGGGATGTCGAGCGGAAGGAAACAATGCCAGCTATACTTTGTGCGTCTGCGATCACCTGACTAATTTCGCTGTTCTCATGGATTTTAAAGGCGTTCTTGATGACGTTGATCAGCTCGCATTCAACTGGATCACTATTATTGGTTGTTCTTTATCCATCATCTGCCTCTCCTTTTGCGTGGTAGTCTTTTCTTGCTACAGGTAACATGAATAAATATCACTTTTGCTGCCCTATATTAACAATTTGTTGAAAGATTAAATTTAACATTCTTCTTGGAGATAATGATCTCCACGATGAAGTTTTTAAAACTCTTTATTTTGACTATCCTTTCCCCTTTTATTAAAGCTTTTTTTCAGTCTTCCTTTTTTTATTTTGTTTTCTAATTTTGTGTATTTTGATATTTTAGCTACCATAGTAAGCATTCATGGGGTCTTAGATACGTTATACATCGAAACTTGTGCCTTACTTTGCTCATAGCTAATCTTGTCTTAATTCTAGGAATAGACAAAACAGATGATGAGGTTAGTAGAACTTATATTTTTCATTTATGGGCTAATTTTTATTACTTTTATTACCTTCTTTCACTTTTATCGCCGACTTTTACTTGGGACTTATATATATGTCTTTATTTAGCCCGAAACTTGGAAAGATTAATCATAAAAAGAAAATAAATAAAAATCGGAGAAGAAATTGGACGTACAACTTGGGATGCATCGCAGAATAGATGTCAGCCAAAAACATATTCCCTCCACAAAGAAATTTTAAGATTTAAAACGATAAAACAACCCCTTAAAATAGTTGCCCTTTTATTCCTAATATATAGATTTCTAAGACATCAAAATTTACAAAAAATTTTATGAGTACAAACAACGCATGGTTGGAAGTAACTTCCAAACAAAATAAATAAAAACTGAAAGCACTTTTTTTTTTAAACTGTGGATTATCTTATTATTGAAGCTCCATTCTCATAATTAGCACAGAGGTCACTGCCTTAAAATAAATGGAACCTAGCCTAATGGTTGGAAATACTTGTTACAAACTCACAACATTTAATAAGTAGCTTATTATTAGAATAAAAGAAGAGTAACTTCATATGACAACATTGTCTTTGAAGAACAGCCTAATAAGAGATTGCCATAACAGAGTAAAGAACAACCTAATAACAGGCTGACCTAATAGAATAAAGAAGAAAATAATAACAGGCTGACTTAACAGAATAAAGAACAGCATAAACGACTTTTTAAATTACACTCATTGATAATTTCTACTACTATAACTTCTTATGCTTTTTATTCTCTGTTTAGAACTTGTGTGCTGTTGTAGCTGGTATGCTTCACTATTTCTTCCTATCTGCATTCAGCTGGATGTTACTGGAAGGTGTCCATATCTACATGCTTCTCGTCGTAGTTTTCGCATCGCGGCGCTCCCACTGGGAAAAATACTACCTTTTCGGCTATGGTGAGTTCAAAATATAAATTATTAATTACCGTCGAACCTTCTAAATTAGTGCAAAATCAAATCGTTTTCTAACTGAATTCCATATTTATCGTTTGCGTGCAATGAAAATTTGTCTTATTTACTTGTTTTTAACATTTATTCGTCCAATGAAAATAATTTTTTTAGGGAATAAAATGCTGTTCTTATGATTTTTGTGAGTTTGTAATTGTCATTCATGACTGTCAGATTAAGTTTAGTCCATCTCCAGCCTCCACACTTAATGCGAATTATGAAAATGGCCCAAAATGTGAGTAATAAAAAGAGACAGTTTTTTGAAATTAAAAAAAAATATTTGTCGACATGATACATAAAAACTTGAATACCACTGAATTGTTTGGGTAAACAATTCAGTGGTATTCAAGTTTTTATGTACTAAAACTTGAAACCACTGAATTGTTTGGGTAAAAATATGATAAAATTAAGAATTTGTCTTTACATTTGTGATTTTCACCTAGGTCAAAAAAAAAATATTGCATGATTAGCTAACAGCTTTTATTTAAATTTTTAAGATGTTTGATCAATTAAAAATCTCATAATTCTTAGCAGAAATATAGCGTGTATAGTAATTTGCTTCAATACTCAATACTAGCCTTTTTGAAAGAATTATTTCTTGGCTAATACGAGCCTTTTTTGAAAGAATTATTTCTTGGCTAAGTTGAAACTTGCCTGCATAATCAGCAGCTGGGAACAATGATCTATAAAATAATCACGGAGAAGAGACCTCTAGTCCAGCAGTTCCAAATTTTTTTCGACGGTGGAACTCTAAATAATGAACTTTCTATCGACGGTATCCGGATTTTATAAAGAAAGTTTATTAACACTATGTATAGGGGACGAGTTATTTTAACCCATTTCGAATTTCATAAGGAAAATTACAAAATCCGTTTGCATTTTTATTTTATCTCTTGTAATGACTTTTATTCATTGATCGAGGTAAATATATATTGAAGTCTATTTTCCTCAAAAGCGTTGAGGCTCTTTGTAGTATACCTATCTCTACGGATGTGCGTCAATTTGCCGTGATCGTAATTTAGACAAAATTTTGAGTAAACATGCAAACATCACAACAATAATAAATAGGAATGTACCGACAATACTTCGATCCGTTATCCGATATCGTTATCTGTAATGAAACAAGCGATAAACAACTGTTGCCGATAAACATTAATAGAAAGAACAGACGCAGAATGTCAATTGATGTCAGATTTTGAAGGTTTCAGTTACTTAGTTCGAGTATTGAAAAATAAAATACTAGAATATTTCATAAATATATATCTCATATTTTTTCTTATAGTATATAATTACATTGCTTTCTAAGTGCAGAGATGCCAATTGCTCCGGACACGCTAAAATGATTAGAAAAACGGTAAATAACAAAGTAAATTTTGCTAATGCTGTTATATGTATTCGTTCATGCGTCAAATTGACACGCGTTCGTAAACCTGGTATTAAGGTAAGAGGGAACTTTATAACCTTTAGAAGATAATATTTAATAAAAGGAAGGAATATTTTTCATCGTTTGATTATTAATAAACTTAAATTAATTTTTATGTCTGGCAGTTAAATTTGCAGTCCTTGTGCTATATCTAGTCTAGTTTTGAATTTGTTTTTGGTGTGTATACATAAGCTAAAGACGAATAGAATAAGCCGAATTATGGTTAATTTCAAAATGAAGACTTAACGGCTATAAACGTTGAAAATGATTATTTGGAAAACATACTTCTTTATTAAACAATTTTAATTTTTTATTTTGATTTGAGAAGAGTAATAGGAAATAGCAATGCTTGCTCTTTTCATAATTTGTTCAATATAATGATGTAAGAAATATTATATTTTCGTCTGAAAATATATTTCGTTGAGCTGGTAAAGATTAAATAAGTTCTGAATTGCAGATTGTTTCGAAATATAATGAAAGGTTTATAACTCATCACTGGTAACATGCAGTACCATCTCAAGGAACCCCGTTCACTCATACGCGGAACACAAGAGTTCCGCGGAACACCATTTAGGAACCGCTGTTTTTGTCTTTTAAAAATAAACTAATCATTAACTTACTAATCAGAAAATTACTAATCAGAAAAGTTAAGAAGAAAAAATTAAATGTAACGCCTATTTCTTTTAAGGAAAGTGACGCTTATTTTTTTTTCCCCAATAAAAGAAGCATTTATTTCTCTTGCCGAAGTAACGCCTACTTATTTCCCCTTTTGGATTATGTGCTACGCGAGCTTAACCATCCAAAATAAAACTTTATGCGAAACATATATGATTTCATTTTTCTAAAATGTAACAAAAATTTTGAAGATATAATTTGTTAAAATTTTAAATACTCGAATAATATTTTTTTATAAATTTCGACTGTAAGGACACGATAGAATATTGCGCGTTTATTGAATCCATGGTTTTTAGACTGCGCAAAGATAATTGCTTTTGTTTGCAATCAAATTCTAAAATCCATTCTGAAAAAAAAAAACAATTACTGTGGTTGTAGGCTGTTAAAATCTCATCAATATTTAAAAACTACTGACATAGAAGTATAATTAATAGTTTACATGCTTAATAGTGCGAAAAAGATTACAAGTATATTTTATTGAGCCGGGATTGCCTCCTTGGTAGGCACTGAGCCAATGTCCCAGATATCGTGGGTTCGAGCGGAGACTCCCCGTGTAGTAAATGGTGACTGATGTGAGTTAGAACAGTCTAGTCACTAAGTCCTGCAAGTTCCTATAACAAATCAAACCTCTGGGGGTACTGATCCAGGAGTTTCCTTATCTTCTGGATTGGTTCAAAATTACAAGGAGTTGAACATTAGTAGTAGTATGACTAAAATTGGGTCTGCTGTTCAACGATGGACATATATATATATATAAAGTATATTTTAGGCGAAATACATTTCGAGATACATTTGAAAAGAATTTGATTTTAAAATAAATAAATTGTCCTATTTGTTACTACCACTAATTAATAAAAGAAAAAGTTTAAATGTTTTTTTTAAAAGCTATATTAGATGGCGCCACGCGTCCAGTGTGTAATGAAATGCTCTGCGATCCCTAAAGTCACTTAGGTTATGATCGTGTGAGTGAGCAAGTTACTAAGAATGCCCAGGATTAGGTCTGCTTCTGCTGTTCAACGACGGATATATATATCATACCTGCCAACTTTCATTTTTTCCGAGAATGGATTTTCAGTCAGAGTGGTTGTTAAACGAAAAACAATCTAACTCAAAAATATATTTAGATTCTGTTAAAATTCGCTTGCTCAAGGATTATTATGCTTTTATTGTAATTATTTATATGTAGTTGTGGTCAAACTCATTTATAATTATCATTCAGAAAGTTAATTGGAATAACCTGAGTATTGCTACCTCTTTAAATATGAAAATAAAATCTTCCGGAAGAGTTGGCAGGTATGATATATATATATATAAAGTATATTTTATGCGAAATAACCTGTAATCTAGTTTGAGAAACATTTGAAAAGAATTTGATTCGAAAATAAATAAAATGTCCGATTTATTAATACCACTAATTAATAAAAGAAAAAGTTTAAATATTTTTTTAAAACGCGTTGGAGTTAAGTTGGGCGCCAATGTCAATGTGCATAATGTAGTGCTCTGCGGTTCCTAAATTTAGGTTATGATCGTGTGAGCTAGTTATTTAGAAAGACAGTTCGCCCGTTCCCAGATGGTGTTCCGCGGAACCCAAGAGTTTCGTGAAAGGGATTCCACAGGAGAAAGGACTTATTTTTAGCTCACACTTAAAGGATTTTTTTTAAGTCTGTATTTGTAATTGAATGTAATAATATTTTGATCTTGTTTATGAAATAAAAGTAAATTGTTAATGAAAAATAGAGTTTTTTTTAGAATTATTATTTCTCTAATGACAATATCTTCATTAAATTCTAAGAAGTGGGCTGCATTTGTATTTCTAAAAATAATTAAATTCGCTAATAAAATATGTTTCCTTGGTAGCCATTTTCAACGTTCTTTAAGATGTCATTTCAACAAAAATCATTTTACAGCCAAATAAAACCTAAGTTAAGACTTCTGATATATCATGAACATATGAACAAAACTATGAAAAATTCCGTAACTCTGATAAAATAGTTTCAAAATAAGGTCGTCTTTCATAGGTTTGTACGGTTAAAATTGCTTTTATATAGTTTATTTTGCATTGTTTTTTAATACTTTATTTAAAAAGTCAAGATTTCATCTAAAAAATTTTATTATTCAAGGTTTCGTAGCCGAAAAATTTTGGGAGCCTCTGTATAAATGATACCAAGATAATGTATAATTGATGTATAAATTATACACTCTAATTAAAATGAATAACTCTTTCATTTAGGCCAGAGGAGGGGAAGGTGAATTTTTCATGTCATGACAGACCACATTTAAACTATTCAGTCACACAGGTGACCGCATAAATTGGTATACCAATAAATACGAATTGTGTCAAAAAATTATAATATTATCATTTTTTTGCATTATGCAGACATAATGGGGGGAAAATTGTCATTTATGAAAATAAGGAATACAATATTAAATATTTTTGTATATTATTATTTGTATATTAGCTAATAATATTTTTGTATATTATTTACTTCAATGTTTCTGATTAAAAACCAAAAATATTTAAATATTGTTTTACATGAAAATAAAAAAAAAGTAGAAGTAATTTTCAATAAATTCTTGCCAATATTCACCTTCTTAATTGAAATATTTAGGTTCTTCATGAGTCAAATAGTGCTCATTTGCCTTCTCTTTTTCCGAAGAAGTTGAAACCGTATTGCGCAATAAGCACACAATTTTATCTTTCACAGAAGTAAAGAAATAGTCGAATTTCCACTCTACATTAAATTATCTGTTTACTTTAATTAATATTCTTTAATTAATATTCTTCGTTTACATTTTTATTTTATTTTATAACCGCTCTTTTAACAATTAACCCAATTTTGGGTTTACGACTACTAATGTTCAACTCCGTAGCCTTGTAATTTTGAATCCAATCCAGAAGACAAGGGAACTCCTGTATCAAGTATATAGGGAAATTTGCTTTTATGGACGACTTTTTGATGAAACTAACCCGCATTTGCTTTATATGGAGAAGAAAACCACGAAAAATTCCCACGGTTAACCTGATGGTAAAGGGACTATAATTCATGATCCGTCTACCACTGGGGATATTTTACATCAGCACTGTGGTCGATGCAAACCGGATGCGGAATTCGTATCAACCAAACATCCTTGCGATTCGAACCCGGTTCACCTTATCGGAAGGCGAACGCTCTATCCTCTCAGCCACACATGTAATAGACTCTCGATATCACCAAGTTGAAGGGATGCTAAAAAAAAATTTGGGGATAGCGAGTTTTCGAGAGAGCAAGTTCAGAACAAAATATGTTCTAAAAGGTAGAAAAATATATTCTAAAATATTACTCTAAAAAGTAGAGTCATGAAACCTAAAAGTAACTGCTATTAAACTTGTATATAATAATAGTCCATAAGTCTAAATACAACAATGATACTTTTATTTTTAAAAGTAAGTCAAAAATAACTATGTATTAAATAGAAAAGAATTGGTTCACAACAAACTTTCTTTGTGATTTTTCCAAAAAAATTCAATTTCTATTTTGAAAAAATTTGGCATAACTAGATTTTGAGAAGAAACTCTTCGATTCAAATTAACGTTATGTGGTTATACAATGGCAGGGGAAAAGACTTTTTCGATATAACATGGTTTTCGAGATATCGAAGTTCGATTTATCGAAAGTGTACTGCACTTACCAAAAATACAATTAAAGTGTGCATTGGTAAAATATCAGAAACAGTAAAAAAATAACTAGATTTTTACAATGACCGATAGCAAAGAAGTTAGAGGCACGCACAGATAACTATAAATCACCAACACCTCAACATACAAGAGCATGTTGAAGGATGCAGGGCAGAGAGAGGAAAGTATGCACTGCCTGTCTCTCAGATCCAGCACCGTCACGGTTCCGATAGCAACAGCTTATTGTATTTCCATTGGGTTGAGTCATGGCCATAAGTAAGAACAAAACAGAAGAATTTTTATTGTTGGACGTTGGCAAACTGAAAAATGTGCCAGAATGGCAATAATTTCAGACTAAGAAAGAATGTGGGAACTATAGAAACAAATTCAGAAAATCTAATGAACTGTTTAGCAGTTAAACGTTTTTCTCTAAGCCCGTACTGTTTATCGAATAGTTGCAAATTTGCTATCCTTTCCATCTTTTAATCTGAAATTCTTCACAAATATTTAAAATGGTTACAAAATTTATATTAAGATAATTACATGAAAATTGTTTTGACCAACATGACTTTTAAATTTTAAGAACATCTAATAAGTACGGATATTTTAAATACTAATTAAATAGAAAGAAAAAGAAAACTTTGATGACATGGTGGTTATTTCAGGATTACTATTAACTTTAAACAACAGAACTTCCGTGCTGCTAGTTCTGTTTCTTTTTCTCAATATTTTATTAGCAAACTGCTGATACTAGAAATTTTTTTAGTTTAAACTGTTGTTCGCGTTAATAGAAAGGTCTTAGCCTACAATTTAACCTAAAATTTGATTATGAATATTCTAAATGAATGCTATCTTATAATCACCATCTTATACAACTTTTAATCGACTAAGATAGTAAAGGGAAATTACCCTTATAAAAAATTAAGGTGTTTTTGAGGTTGATTGGTGTAAAAATTACACCTAAGGTTTTGCACCAAAAATAACCTCATTAATAAAGCACAATTTCCACCTCATTTACACCACACGAAATCAACCTCATATATAGCTCAGAAATAATTTTAGTTTAGATCGAGTGGAATTATTCAAATTATTTAGTGAAATTATTACTCAACTATACTTATTTGCTTGAAGTGTAGAAAAATAGTTCATATACCTCAAAAACAACCTTCCTATGCTGGGTTGCTCTTAAGTAGATTTCCATTAACCTCAAAACAACCTCAAGTGTGAATAAAACATCTTCATGCACCTTGATTATAGACCTTGGGAGGTTGGTCTTTTAAGGTTGTTTTTGAATTCAACTTCGAATAAGTCCAAAATCCAGCTTAACACCACAAAAATATCTTAAAATTCTTTAAGGTTAAAGGTTCATTTTCTATTCCCCCAAGAGGAGGAAAAAAAGGAAGAAAAAACAATCTATATTATATAAAACGCTAATACGTATGTATGTATCAATAAAACCGATGATATTTCTTTTCTCGCGCTGGCAACAGTTTTCATTTTTATTTGATTGGATTCGGCGAGCAGGAACACGTAGTGAGCAACCAGATAACAATAACCAGAGTGAGCATTATCAGGTTGTTCAATTCAGATTCATGCACTAAAAACATGACAATATTTAATTTAAACTCAATTAGGAATTAATTAATTAATTGAAGTGAGAATGCTTTAAAAGGCCGCTGTTGAATTGATATTTTTCTCCTGGGAGCTACCTTAACGTCTAAAAAATGTTTAAGTGTTTGTATTGAATGCATTGAATTTTTTTATATTTCGCGTTTATTTATGCATTGAATTTTCACGCTTTAAAATGCAGAATATTAGTGAAGCAATATTTGATAATTTATTTTGCTAATATGTTTCTTATTTAGCTAATGTTTTGATTTTTTCACCATGTACAATCTAAATAGCTAATATACTTTTTTAAAAGCCAATAAGAACATTGGTAGAATTCTTCTACATAAGTACAAATACTATGTCTTTGATGATAAAATACTATGTCTTTGATGATAATATATTATGTCTTTGTGCTACAACATTGTGTTCATTGGCGAGCGAGCGCAGCGAGCCATGGTTCACGGCGTGAACCACATAAGATTGCACAGCAATTCTCGGGGATTGGCGAGCGTTAGCGAGCAGGGGGCGGAGCCTCCTAGTGAATTTTAATGGAGTAAATCAATCAAAAAATATTTGAAAAATTGGTAAATAAATAAAATAAATGTGAATGTAGTACAATTCAATTTTATTTGTTTATTCTATTTTCTTTTATTTTATTTATTTATTTATTTGCGCAGGTTTTCCATTGATTGTTGTCGCCATCACTGCTATAGCAAGGCCAACGTATTATGGTACTGATGAAGCGTAAGTAATTTTAATATTTAATTCTCTTTTTCATTTGATCTCTTTTATGCATTGAATATATTTTCTTAAATCTTATTTTATTTTGCTTAATTTACAAAATATACTCAGGGATGCCAACTGCTTCAATTTCTGCAAAAGTTTTAATAAATTGGTAGTGAATTAAATAGTAAAACTTGTAGAATATGGATAATTACACCCAATCTTCGATTAAGTATCACCACGAGTCAACTGCAGTTCACGATGTATACAAGATCTCGGCATCAGCCACCGAAATGTGGCACTTACCGATTCATCGGATTTCAAGATAAACCGATTCATCGGATTTAAAGAAAATAAGTTGGTAAAAGGGGAAAATAGAATAGGTGGGAGGAGACACTAAGGGGTCTGATTAATCCTGGAGGTCCAAATTATCGCCACCACCTGAATGGTAAACATTAAGAAGCATCCAATTGGAATGATCAGGTGCAATGCGCAAAAAAATAAACTGTCCACCCTGAATAACTTTCGATTAAATGATCGGATCTTCACATTCTAGGACTCAATCTTAATGGTTCGAGGGAGTGACCTAAAATATGCTAATTAATTAGAGCAGACGCTATTTTAAGTTACGAAATCAGACACAAAAACGCACTATCTCAGACACGAAATCAGATCAGACATGAAATCAGACACAAAAACGCTATAAACATACTTTTCTTTCGACGGATTCGGATTTCTGACCCACCAAAATATAGTGGGTATCCAAAATATGGGAAATATAGTCCCAATAGCTTAGGTAAGAGAGCGGTCCAAACGTTGGACCCCTTAATGTTAATAAGTGATTTGTAATAAGCGACGTGAAATATGTAAAAGAAATCTTCGTAAAAGAAAGCAAGTCCAAAAATTGTCCTCCAGTATTGATATTTCAAAACATACTCGGCATGTAGCTTTTCGAAAATATAAAAACTCAACTTTAGGAACGATTCAAGATAGATTCTTTTTTGTTAAGATGAACATGAAATTGCCCTTTTAACTTTAGCCCAATTTGAAATTAAAATTTGCTGCTTTTCATTTGGTCATTTACTCTTGCGTTAACTCAGGTTCTTACATAGCATGGAAATTTTAACAGCTACTTATTTAGACTTAATTTTTTTGAACTGTATTTTTTTTTTTCTTGTTGTCAGGATGTTGAAACTATAAAATACATTACATTTTATTGTAATTTGTATTTAAGTCAAAGAGAAAATTTATTTAAAAAAAATTCATTCACTCAGGCATTTCTTGTCTCTTTTGTTTTTTAAATGCACTTAAAACGTAAATATTTTACCCAATTTCGCTTACTGCTAAGACTTTTAATTTTGTTCTGCTTCTTTTTAATTTACATTTGCACTTTGCTGACTTACAACTGTAAACCTCGTGTTATACTTAGTTGGAGCATGAGGAGTTGTGTATTAAGTTTCTTCTTTTTTCAACAACAAAAAAAAAAAAATTAATGTGAGAAGTTATGTATTAATTTTTTTTTTTTTAAAAACTTACTACACAACTCTACACAACTCAATATTATTAAACGAAAATTTAATACACAAGTCTTGTTTCTCTTAGATGCTGGCTTTCTACGGAAAAGGGAACAATCTTTGCGTTTATGGGACCTGTGGCCTGTATACTGATAGTAAGAAAGCTCTTCTATTTTAATTATTATATTTATGCTTATCTGCTTTCCACTTATTAAGTTACATCAGATCTACTTTCAAATCTGAATTTAACACTTATACTTTCAAGTTATTAGAAAGTACAATTTTTTTTAAATGAGAAGTAATTTCGTTTTCTGTATTTCAAAATTCCATTAACGCAGGAAGATTTATTTGACGAAAATTTGAACTTATTTTTGATTAATAGTATTACACATTGTCATTTCACGCTATGCTTAACTATTTCAGGCCCGTAAAAAAACATTCCTACCCAAAATATTCAATTCCCTTTCTTATCAAGATTTTTGAAAACTAAAAAATATCTACCCACTTTTAAGCAGGATGCAATATCAGCAAATAGAATAATTTTTGAACTTTAAATTACCTACTTAAAAATTTTGCCTGATTAATTGGCAAATTGTTTTGTGAGTATTAAAACATATTAATTTAAAGATTAAAATCATGAGGTGATTGTCAACGTGTGGTACAAGCTCTTAAAATTTTACGAACCATGATAGATTTAAAAATGTTTTTATTCCCGAAGGATCACGTGCATATGGTACAAGGTACAACATATAACTTTTATTTTTGTTGACAGGAAAGAAAAATCTCATAAAGCGTTTACAGAATTTTTGTCTTTAAGTGAAGAAAAATTAAGAAATCAATTCTCTTTAAGACTATATCTTAAGAAACAGTAATCAGATTATTATAAATTTTTATTGACATTATTATCAAAAGATTTTATATATCGCTGGTTCAAAACTAAAATTACACATCTGTCGTTTCAATTTTGAACCAGCGATATGATATGTATGCTTATAAACTTTCAGAAGGTTGAGAAAGTTTTTTGAATGTTTATAAAAAAAAGTAGCAATCAGATTATTATCAATTTTTATTACCAGTTTATCAAACGATAGTAAGATATGATATGATGCTTCTGAACTTTTAAAAGCTTGACAAAGTTTTTTATGTTCTTATAATGCTGAGTATTTGAGCGAGTGAAGAGGGAACTAGAAACTCGAATATCTAGAAAATATGTCGAAAATTGAGAAGTAAACTAAAAAATTGGTCATTTTTAATAATGTAACTATGAAATTTTCCACAAGATGTCCTACAATTACTCATAACTTTTATCAATTAAAATATTTTACCACTTTACCCCAGGAAAATTTTGCGGTGAGGACCCGAAAGTCTCACAAATGATAATTCGAAAAGTTTAAAAGATACATTTATTCTCCCATTCATTGCGGCTAATTTCGTTTGTTTTTAGAGGGTGGTTGTGTCAGGAAAAACAACAACAAAAAAACGGATGCGACCTCACTGGGAGACAAGTTTTTTAAAAACAATTTACGGCGAAAAATCCTCCAAATGTTTCCCTTCATGATATAACCGTTTATTTCTTAGATTTTTTTTTTAAATCTAGACCTGCATCAGAAGTTTCACAGAATTAACATAATATTTTTTCGTTCCCCCAAATCAACCTCATAGCTTTAAAATTATCGAGAAGAATTAAAATCGGGAAGGTGTTTCCAAAATGGCGGTATTACGGGAGTGATGAGGGAAAACTGGTGGTATTTGGATTTTAGATGGTCATTTTGTTTACGTATTAGCAAAAATAATATCAAAACTTCATTTCTTTATTTTTTTGCCTTACCGTGTAGTTATTTATTCTCAAAGTGATGTTCTTTTTTTTACAGCTTAATGTAGCGGCTTTGATATTAGCTCAGTATAAAGCAAGCAATATATCAGTTAAAAATGATAACGTTGCATTAGTCAAGTATGTATAACTTTGACTATATTTGAATTGTGTTTTCATTGATATATTAAATAAAATTACTGAGAATTTTATTTACAGACGGTGGTTACGGATAACATTTATTCTGTTTCCTGTGCTTGGAATCACGTGGTTACTTGGTTTCATGTATGTCGAAAGGAGGTTCATCGTTATTGGATATCTTTTTGCAATTTTTAATTCGTTACAGGTAAATAAAATCCCCTAATAGCTTTCGAGTAGATTTTTTTTCGTTGAATTAAATAAACAAATCAATGAAAAATAAAGATGGCCAGCAATGGAGCAAATGCACTGGGGGAGATAGTTAATGGTTCAAAACTCAAAAACGAAAAGCATCGAAAATCTTTCTAAAAACAAAGACGTTATCGTATTTTCTTATTTAAGATGGTTCGATGGCCTAAACTTAAATAAGTCAATTAATTAATGCGTATAATAGTTAAATGACGACATGAGACACTTTTTTGTTGACAAATTTAGATTCTTTACCCTCAAAATATGGGAGTTAGTCAATTTGAGAGTCAGTGGTCTGGGAACTGTCCTGAAATTTATTGCTTATCATACATTAAGGAACAACGACTCTCTCAAAAATAAGCCAATTCCAATGAAATTTGAATATGTTGTCAATAAAGGGTAAAACTGCAATATGTAAATAAGTCACGATGTAATAGAATGACGTCATCAGCAATAAGAATAAAATTATATGTTTGATCAAGAGCTTGCAAATTTCATTGAGTTTCTGTAATCAGATATTCGAGTTGGCCATTTTATAACATTAGCTCCAAGCATCATTTGTCCGAAGATTGAGATCTATTGGACGACTAGCAGAGATGCGGACAGCGGATAAATATTTTTGAGTGGTAATGTACGATTCTTGATTTAATAAGTTATTTATAGGGTTTTTACTCATCACTACTTCTAATTAATTCAAAGACCTTCAAAGGTAATACTAGACTATATGCCAAGCCCTGTCATTATTTTATCGCCTTGAGTCACGTCAGATGCGATGAATCAGTGGGAGNCGAGCATATTTGGGATGCTTAAGGAAGATGTGTATCTGCTCTCAATCCTCCTCCTAATACCCTGATTATTATTGTCAGATCCTGCTGGTTTCCCAATAACATAATTAGTCCCTCATATTTAGTCGAAAAACGTAGTTCATAAAAAATTTATTTATTTTTATTATTTATAATATAGCCTGCAAAGTAATTTTTAAACGCTGTTTTGTAAATTTAGTTATTTTTATTCAAATAAATAATAAAATAGTTTGTTGGCAAATTATACTTAATTAAAACTCATTAATGCTTTTTATTTGTTTCTTTTAACTAATTATTTTTCCCCTCTCGTTATGAGGTAGTTTCTGCTAAATTATATTTATTCAATAAAAACCATCTATCATTTCTTTCTTTCAGGGTTTCGGAATTTTTGTGTGTCATTGCTTGTTGGATAAAAAAGCAAGAAATATGGTTTTAGCATCTTTTAAAAAGGTAACAGTTTGTGTATTTTTTGAAAAACTGAAATGTAGTTTTTTTATTTAACCTAACTAGACATTTAAGTTAAAAAAGTGATATTTTTCCTTCAAAAGAATACCTTGAAAAATTTTGTCCTGACAATCCCCTAACATGTATAAAATCTAATCTCTAATGAATATCTCAAATATGTTGGTTTAACAATAAATCCTATCAATACTAAGCAATATTGTAATTTTTTGTTAGTAAACTATTTTTAATTTAAATACAATTATTTCTAAACTATGCTATCAATTGCAATGATAATATTGTCAGCAAACATCGTTTCATAATCATTTAACCATTTTACAATGATAACTAAATATCTTTATCCCAAAATGTTGTATAACAAGTTAATATCGTAGATTTGTTTTAAAAATATTATAAGAATTTTACTTTAAATTTCCATCCCTTAATTTAAAACAATCATCGAAATCAAAACGTAAGATTAAATAAGAAAAAAAATGGTTGATAAATAAATATCGCTAGAAAATGCCATTAAGTTAAAGATGGAGGAATTTAGTTATAAGTAAATACCGTTATAACTTTATTTAATTTTAGCTAATGATAACCAAAATTTAAAATCCTTCCATATAAAATGCAACGACAACAATGAGACACGGTTTTAGATCAATCCTTTTATATTATAAACAGATGTTGCTTTACATCTCTATATAAAATTATATCTCCATATATCTCTATCTTCTTATAATATTAATGTCTTATCTAATATTAATCTATTATCTTATCTATTTCCAGAAAAGTGCGTCTGTGAATACAGGTAGCTCTGGAACTCAAAAGAAGAACATTACCAAAGACACCATTAAAGACGAATTGGATTCTGCGCAAAATGGCGCAGCCATCAATACCGGAGATATGAACAAGTCTTCCTTATTATCCTTTAAAAAAAGCAAGAAAGCATGGGTAAAGTGGCACAAACCATGGACATTTTGCTTTGATATGCCTGTAGCTGATAGCGACAACAATAGCACTTACAAAACTACAGAAACGCCTACTAGGCCTGTTATATTACAATGGAACAATTTGGGAGACAAGCCCTGCTAGACTAAATGTGTATTAACCCTTTGCATTCGAATTACTTTTAACAAATTATTAAATGGCTGTGGCCGCTTTAGGTGTTAAGGTTTACGATATAACTGTTTCACTATGGCTATAGCATCTGCTAGTCAATAAGCAAAAAATTGAAAAATTAAGACTGTTTTTATCTGCCTGGCAACCTCTTATCCTTTTTCTGATATTGGCTAGGAAGAATATTGCTCCAACCTTGTTCCAAATCTCAACAATCTAAAACCGGTAAAATTTGGAAGCGTCTTGGCCCTTTTCACCATAGGGAAGCACTCATAACTCGATAAGTTACAGAACAACATACCATCCGAAATTTGAATTTTGACCCAAACGTAATTATCAGTAGTAACGAGCTAAAACCTAAAAATTTTAAAACAAATTGATTTTTTACACAACTTTTATAAAGAATTCAAAGCATGACTGGCCATTTTATAGCCATTTTATTTGGTTGTTCCGATGTCTTCAGGATAGTGGGGTCTTTTCCTCTCGATCTTTTGATACTTAGTCTCGTAGTAGCTTTTATCATGAATTAACAGAAGAAATTAAGAGAAAATAATGGCTTACTATACATGACTATTACCCTACTTGACTGTAAAATATGCATGTTTCTTTCATTATATGTTGGATAGTATTCTTTTAAATCAAATTTTTTAAAACTTTTAATACATCAACTTTGCTACCACTAGAAAAAATATCTACGAAATTCCATTGTATGTTGGAGGGAACGGAACAAGTTGTAACTCTTTCCTGAGATTGAATACCAACAAAGTTGAAGTAAATTTTTCATAAAAAAAAATAAAACAGCTAAGTGACCTCACTAATCACTAGACGTCCATTTAAATACACTTAAAAGTTCGCCATTTTTAACTGGGCAGTGGACAATTGTGGCTATCAGTATCAGCAGCTAGGATAACTTCATGGAATATTAGTTAAATTTCTGAAAAAATATATTCCAAAACTTGAAGCTTTACCATTTCGACTTAATATTTATAAACTTCCAGAATTTTCTTAGTATTCCCAAGAATGTGGTAAGCTTATTGTACCGTGTTCAACTAACCAGCAGGCCTAACTCACTAATCTTGTTGAGAGAAATCGGTGAGTGACTCATGAGACGTTAGTGAAGACAGGATAGCAGAATCGTTATTTGAACGCGAAGAGTTCATGGATTTGTCATGTTTAGAGATGAAAGTATTAGAATTTAAACTACATAATTTTTATAACTTTCATCTCCTGTTCAAACGAGATTATGGGATTCTTAAGTTTGGGGAATTCTGGACTGCTCTTTTGTATAGAAAATGTTTCGTTATATGTATAGAGATAATAAAACTTGAATATGTCTGAAGAAATGTTATAAATAAAGACCATTGTTATAAATAGAGACAGTTGCTGTTACTTTCAATCGATACAAAATTTATAAACATTGTTATAAAAATGAAAATGTGTTCGAAAATAATGTCTTGTTTGGTAATTATTTGATATTAGGTCCTGAAAATTCTTTATGCAAACGAACACACCCAATTACACAAGGATGCAAAAAATGACTTCCAAAAGTGGTTGGGCCTTTAATTTAGCCTTAAATGTATATATCAGATATACACATAAGCATGCATACATATGCTCTTCTACGTCATCATTTGTCTCCTTAAGCTAGAACATTATGAATGAGTTAAAGGATAAACTGCATATAACTTTCTCTTATAAAAGAACCGTTTGCATTACTGTAAAATGAAGCGTGTTTTTCTGCGGACAAAACTTTTCAGTTCATTTAATACATTATTCTTTTAACTGATACCGTCATCCTCACTTAATTGCTTATCGGATAATCGAACAAACCTCTTATACAATTAAAATTGATTGGAAACAAATCATTTTATATGAAACTAATGTTCAATTTCAACATTTAAATGGATATCTATAGTTTCCAGTCCTCAGTGGCGGATCCAGCAGGGGGGGGTCATAGGGGTCATGCCCCCCCCCAAATTAAAAAAAAAATAAAAATAATTTTTTTAATAGTTTATAAAATAAATAAAATACTTTAAAAATTATTTAAGGGGGCATATACACCTAGGTTGGTCGGGAAATTTTTTTTCTATCTAATTATGCTCTTCACTGTTTCAAGAATCATAATCCAAAAGATTAAAATGAAATTCGTCATAGTTTCATTGTAAACGTTAATAATGTTGAAGCGTGCCGAGCGCTCCAAGTGCGCTTCAACAGGTTTAACCAAAGATTGTATAAAGGTGAACCCATTATCACAGTAATGGGTTTCAAATCGTTTAAGAACTGGCAATCTTAAAATTTTGTTGGTATTTTTTTGAACAAAAAAGTATTATCGAACTACATAGGAATATGAAATTGCAGGTAAAAAGAGTTTATTTTAGTTTTAAGTCAAGTATTTTTTAAATATTTCCAAGCAGCTACCTTATTTTCACTTGCTTCTTCCACATTTTTTTTTAAATCCAGTATAATCGGCACTATGGTTACGTCGTAGACAGTAGTTGTTAGAACTACATTGTTATTATTATTTCTGTAGTTTACTACAACTAATTTGTAACAAACGTAGTTAATCATAAATACAAATACTTTTTTTTTTGAAATGCAGTGACTGCAAACTACTTTGGAATTGTTGTAACTACTTTGTATAAAATGTGCTTTTTAAAACATTAATCTTATTCTTTGGACATGTGGGTTTAAAACGCATCGATCTGGTGGCACAGTCGTCTTTCATCCGTTTGTGAATATGAATATTTATTCACTCGTGCTCAGTTTTCTGTTAGATAATTTTTATTACCTAATTTCTTAGAGAAAACTTGGAGTAGGCGTTACTTTTCATAGAATGCAAATCCATACCGACCACTCGATTTAGTTATACCATTTAGTATAAGGTACTACAAACATAAAGTAAGTAGCGTAACATAGGTTTGCCAATAAACACTTTCTTTTCGAAAGCTCTATTCAAATTGTGCAGAACGATTTCTTAATGGATTCAATGAAATTGGTACAAAGAATTTTCTTTGAATCTGCGGTTAAGACTTATATCCTTTGAATCTGACTAAAACATTTTCTCTGTACTCCATGTAGGAAGCATTAATATTTTTCTTATATAGCCATTCTAATATGGTGAAAGAAATATCCCCCTAACTGATTTGTCATTTTGTTAAATTGAGGCTTTGAAAAATGCGGAAGAAATTTGGCTCACCAAAAACACGATGGTTCTTAAAAGAAAAATTAATCTACCACTTTAATTCAAAATATAAAATTATATGTCTTATTACAACACTGACCATTCTGTCAGCATCAAACTTTATTTCTTTATTTCATTTAGATAGAACATTTGTAGGAAGCTGATATCTTCTAGCAAATGTGGTGGATTGCATTGAGGTTAGTGTATCAACTCTATGGACGGGCAAGCCATGTAAGTAAAATTAGCATGGCATTCAACGTGTTAAAGATTGCTGCCACAAAATTCTTTTATAATCGTAGTAGGTAGTTTTTTGACTTGAAGCCAAAGTGAACCTGGAAAATATTGATTTTATGTTTAAACATGCTTAATCAGTAAATATTTTTCGACTTATGGTTGATGTAGGTGAGTGTCGGGTAGCCCCGCCCACTTAAGGAGTATTGCTTATATTTCTGTATAATATTGAGTAATAATCAATTTTTTTTGTATGTTTCTATTGTTTTATCATCTAATTAAATAATGCAAAAAGAATAAACCAAAAAAAGAATAGTTTAGCTAAAAAAAATCGAAATTTAAAAAAACATGTTTTTTAGCTCTTTTCAAAATGTGTACAATAGTTGTTTTACAATATAAACTTATTTGGTTGATCTCTACTTATAAACTTAATATTCTCTACTTATAAACTTAATATACTCTACTTATAAACTTAATCTCTGCTTATCAACTTATTATAAACTACTACTTATAAACTTACTCTACTAACTTGATCTCTACTTATAAACTTAATACTTCTTATAAAATTACAAATTCACTTTGTATTTTGATTGCATTCAAATGCTTCTGTAGACTGATTCGTTCGCAAATAAGTGAAAATAAATAAGTATGCGAATAGCTCATCATAATATTTATGATTTCTTGATATTAAATTTAATTTGGATATATCAATTACATTTTAAAAATATTTAATTTGCATTTTTAAATATATAAATTTATGTTTCATATAATATTAAAACATATATTTGTTGTTAAAAATGCATATAACATTCAAATTTGAAGCAATAAAATAATAATCTTTGCAACCGTACATTTATCGACGAAATAAAATTGGGCGGTGATACCCAACATTCATGTGAGCGGGGCTACCCGAAATCCAATTTTTTTGTAAATTTGTAATTACTCGAACAATTTTTTACATACAAACTTCTTTCTTTGTGCAAATTAAACTTAAGACTACATACTTTAATGCTGTATGTATAGAAAAAATTATTTTTTTAGTATTAAAATGAAGTTTAATCGAAACATTCAACCAATTTTTCTTAATTTCATGACTACTGTATTCAACGTCTTTTCAAAACTATTGTTTACCTTGTTACCATCATCATCATATCTGGCTAGACAGCCCAGGGTGGGCCAGCGCCTTCCTTTGAATTCGAATCCACTTCTCTCTCTACTTTTGACACTCGTTCGCCAGTTTTTCTCCTTTAGAGTAAGGAAATCAGTCTCAACTAAATCCAGCCATCTCAGCCTGAGTCTACCTCTTTTCCTGTTCGTTAGGGGTTTGTGTAACAGGATATTTTTCAAATTTGAGTCATCATTCCTTCTGAAAATGTGAGCTGCCCAGTTCATTCGATGTATTTTAATGAATTTCACAATATCTGGCTCTCTCTGTAGATTGTTACCAGCTGCATAAATACTTGAAACTTTGAAAATAATATTTTCTTAATATAACAATTAATGTCCGATGGCCCATTGACTTGAAAAAATATTCTATACATATGAAATTGCCAGTGGGCGGGGGTACCCGACACCCCCTAAATGCTTAGTCATAGTCTCTGGAATTATGATAGCATTTTGATATCGCGATTTTAACGTAACGCGCGTAACTTTCCTAACACGCTATTTTTGGCAAATGAAAAAAAAAAACAATTTGAATTTTCATAAGAACGTTGTGAACTGTGGCTGAACACTTAATAGCAGCACCAATTCCATTGCTTGTTGGTGCCAAAATTTTTCCATTCGGTTGTCATTCTGGCCAGTGATTACACAAATTTAAAAAGTTTTTAAAGTTTGTGTATTGAGCAATATAAAGGACGTGACTGAACAGAAAATAAATGATATATCAGCCATAGTTGAAACAATCACTGACACTTGCCAAAACGTTATTTTGTGACATAAATAGAAATTGATGGCTCAGGAGATAGAGCGTTCGCTTTCCAATGAGGTGAACCTGGTTCGAAAACCAGTGATGGCTGGTCGATGCAAATCCGCATCCAGCTTGCACCGACCACAGTGCTGATATATCCTCAGTACCGTGAAATATCCTCAGTGGTAGACGGATCATGAGTTAGAGTCCCTTTGCCGTCAGGCTAACCGTATGAGCTTCTCGTGGTCTTCCTCCATGTAACGCGTTCATGTAACGCTTCCTCCATGTAACGCGTCTTTTTGATGGAACTAACCCGCAAGGGTTAGTTCCATCAAAAAGAGTCCTCCACGAAGGCAAATTTCTCCCAATACTTGTTCCCTTACCTGCTGGATTGGGCTCAAAATTTCAAGGCTACGGAGTTAAACATTAGTAGTCGGAAACTCGAAAATTGTGTCAGCTGTTCAATTATGGTTTTAAAAAAATATATATGTAGTAAACAATGAATAGGTGCAGAGTAGCTTGAATGTTCTTCTAGTGTAAGCATTGTGCAGCATCTTGAACTAGAGAGGTATAGTTTTTCTGAGAAATCCACAATAATGAAAATAGTTTTGCATGAAGTATCCGATAATATTTTTTCGCGTACTTTTAAGTGATGACTTTGAAATGTAACGATATTGCTTCGAGTATTTTCATTTTTTGTACTAGAGACTCAATAAACTCTTCTAGTTCCTGTAATGTATCCAGAGTATGTGCCCAATCGGTTTGGGCCCACCGCTTGAATATAGCATATTCAACATATTGTAACATTTGAGCTCCATTAGATGCAGTTCATACTCTCCAGGACATTCATAACGACGATGCAGCATACAGTTTTCACTTAGTATGTCACAAAATAACTTTTTTAATAGTTCCGTATACGTTTCTGTTATATTTACAGCATTTATTGCATAAATACATACACATACATTATGCATTTCGTGACTATTTACTGCAACGCGTTCTTTTGAGCGAAGTTCGAAAAACATTGAAAAACCAATTTTGTCAGCATAATA